ATTTAATAAATAATAATAATTATTATAATTTAATATAAAAAAAGTAAATTATATAAGTTTTATTTAAGTATTTAAAAATACTTAATATTTTTAATAAATAATTATAGGTAACCTATTTTCCCCTATAAATCTATTTGGGTCTTTTTTTCCTACCTATACCTACCTAAAGCCCACGGGTAAGCAACCCACACGGGTACCCGTGGACCTTTTACACCCTACACAGCACCAGACACAACAGAAACCAGACCAGACTGCCTGCATACATACCTAGGTACTTATATAGCATTGGCTGTATATAGGCTACCAGACCAGAAATATATACGTGTATGTACCTAGGTGGTCAGTGGCTGCACTCTACAGGCACTACATGCAATTGAGCCTGCATATGTGCCAATTGTGACCAGCAACCCCTACAAGTGCGGTCTGGTGTCTACATATGTATCCAGTCTAAGCAAATATTAAATGGACATGGACGAATTATTAGCAGTTGGCCTCTGCTGGCCGTACATGCTTGACCACGATGCACCACCGCTACTGCCAATGCCATGATCATCTTCGCCTATTCGTATTCTACCTCACTTCTCCATCCAGCTCGGTATTGGGGCGGAGCTTGCTTTGTTTTCTTTCCCAAACAGCCTGGCCAAATTCGCTAGCAACTAGGTTGGGTCAGAGCCGCAAGGGCTTCTCAGATAACGTTTGTAGCTTGCCTGAAGCGCATCAACGAATCGCTCGCCATACCACGGGATTGAGGGAGCATTTGGTCTAAAGCTGGCTTAAAGTGTCTCAAATATCAGCCGCCTTTTATCCAGCACAGAATAGTAAATAGCTACTGGCATATATAGTATAATCTCACTTGCATATGGCTACTTGTGAGTTAAAAGAGCAGCCACTAATAGATCATTTCGTCAAGGAAGATGAGCAGACAGGTGAATTTCAGGGGCGAGGCAGCTAGCTGGTTAGTAGAGAAGTTGCGGATCTAACAAGCTACGTGGGAGGAGTGCATAAACAGGGTAGCGAGATAAGAGGACCTGTGTAGGTAGGGAATCGTAGAGTGTAGAGATAGGACAGTAAGTAGATGGCAAGAGAATAAAAGCATGAGTTGGGGAGAAAAGCGAGTTGAAGAGCAGATGGACAATATAGTGCGAGGCCTATGTATATATATATATACTGCGAACTACACAAAGATGTTTTTTTTTTCTTTTTGTTTTGAGGCAAAATTGCATTGTTAACCTTCCCCGAGTGGATTATACCGTCAAATACTGCAGAGGAACAGCCCCTCCCAGAGTATAATACTTTGATTGTTCACAGGGTTTTATATTTGGCTAGGATGAGTGTCAACTAGGTATATTGAGGCGTTGCAACGGTCGTGAATACGTAAGTGATGCCGTCTTCAAGTCCTGGGAGAACGCCGGATCAGACGTGCTGGCAATAGCAGAGCAGTAGCTTTATAATTTGCTCCACAGAGTACATTTTACATAGAACCTACATATCAATAGATCTATTACCAAGTTCTATTCTCTCTTGTATTTGTAAACGAAACGGACATGGTCGAATACTAAGCAATCTAGTGCTGCCCACGTTGCTTAATGACACTATATCTTGGTATTTTAGAAAGCAAAGCTGACGAGACTTGGGGAATCGAAGGGATCAATTAGCATAGAAAGGTAGGAAGTTATAAATAGACTTCAGCCGGGGAGAGCCGGTGTTCCCGAACTAGTGATGCAGCTTGTACAACAGACCTGGAGTGTTATATCCGACGGCTTCAATAATGTACACATGGTCTGAAAAAAGGTTAAAGAGAATAAAGTTGTGCTTTATCAGCCTCGGAACCGGATTATCATGCTTGGCGAGGTCAAAACGTGCGGTTGCGTGGATCTGCGCAGCCCCATGTTTGCGCGTCGAATTCTTGGTACCAGACAGCTAAATGCAGCAAAGGCGGCCGTGAGGTCACGGAATCCACAACGCCCCTGCCAGCGGCCGTAAACCTTGAGTGACATTGATAGTAACTGTATCAGGCCTAATAAAAGTATAGCTGTGATAGTGGTGTAATTTCTTGTAATATGGAAGTTTATTAGGACTTTTCTTATCATTTAAATTTAAGTATAAAATCAAGTACCTTTAAAATACTAGCTTTTAATTGGCTCAAAATCCCTGTCACAACCTCGATGCCGCCTTCGCTGCATTTAGGGGATGTACTCCGTACCCGAGAGTGAATTTCTCGGCGCAGGACGCCCCACCACACCACCCGTCTTGGGCTAGCGGCCACGATGTCGCACCCCCGTTGCATTCCCGGTACAAATGGGTACCCAAATATGGCACTGATTGCCCTCAATCAAGAACGATGTCAACTACATAAGTACCTTTACGTGATTACGTGCACGAATTGCTCAACAACACAGCGGCGGGCAGGCTCTAAACGCGATTACCGTTGCTGACTCACTCCATGATACTGAAGGAAGAAGAAAGGCCAATATCAGCCGTGGCCGCGTGCGCGATTTTTGGCATGTTTCCCACGCAGTTACTCGTGAAAATGCTTACAAACGTAAACGTGTAGCAACGAGGGTGTAAGCGTATAAACGTATGGGTCACCACGGCTCCCATCAGACTTACTCCTGAGCCCCGAGCAAAGCAATTCACGCCGGATAGTACGGAGCACTGTGGGCAGTCATACGAACTGATGCGGATTTTGCACATGCGGAATTTTGCGCACGCTCTGACTCTATTTTGCAAAATTGCCAGCTTCCTCATCTGAACTAGTGTCAGCGCATTCTTGGAACCAAATAAGTCCGCCCCTTGGATATAATATTAAAATTGGATACGAGTGTCTTTGAAAGGGACCTCGGCTTAATTGCTCAATGCGCCTGCCGAAATTATTTAAAGATGAATCATGATCCGTATAATGTGTTTCCCGACATACATAGCTTCTTGTTCTAACAAGGAAACATGATGCTTTCCGTCATTCTCGGGCTGCCTTTGGTGGCGCTTGCCCTGGCAACTCCCGTGTCGAATAACGCCAACGATGTAGACGGGACATCAGGCGGAACATCAGACGGGACACCGGACGATGTGGCGAGGGTGCTGGAAAGGGGGTTTCTTCCGACAGACCTGGCTGGGGTGGTCAAGGTCCTGGAAAAGGGTCTCCCTCCAGACATCCCAAGCGAAGTGGCTGCGATAGCGGCTATTCTTGAACAGGGTCCCCCTCGAACACAAGGTCAGGCTCCTCGGTACTTTTGAGAATTTGAGCATTGCATTAACAATGCACAGTTTCATCTGGCGTGTACGAGAAACTGAGCTACTATGCACAATTTCCAGGGTCCGCGACTGTATGCGTCCACAAGCCTGCGGAGGGCATTGTCGAGCAACTCTACGTCAATGAAACCACCACGGACACCCAGGCCATGATTTACAGACTGGATTCCAGAAAGGAGTTGATTCTAGCTATTCCAGGGACCCAAAGCGGTCGCGACTGGGATACAGATTACAACTGGCGTCTGGTTGACTACAAGTCCTGCGAATCCTGCAAAGCACATCACGGATTCTTAACTGCATGGGAATCAATCGCAGACGAGGTGGAGCGCGGGTTGGAATCAGCTCTGCGGTCATACCCGGGGTACTCGGTCACCATCGTGGGCCACAGCCTCGGAGGTGCTCTCGCGGAACTCGCCTTTGGCAGCTTGAAGCCAAAGCCGCTGAGTGTCTCGCAGGTCATCACCTATGGCGCGCCGAGAGTCGGGAACACGGGGTTCGCCGATTACATTGACAAGCTGGCGGGCGCGTCAAACTCGGATGCTGGCATTTCATATCGCGTGACTCACTATGATGGTAAGTACTGGCCGCACACAAATCGTGCAAACCGGTGGAACGGTAGTACTGACTTGAAGTAGACACGGTTCCGCACCTTCCCCCTTTCTTCTTTGGGTTTACCCATCCTAGGACCGAGTACTGGCAGTCTGCTGATAAGCCCGCAGAAGCCTCGACATATAGGTGCTACGGCCACGAGTCGCTGGACTGCATCTTTGGCAGGGTACCATCGTCAAAATCAGATGCACATGGCACTTATGCTGGGATGAAGCCTTTTTGTTAAAGATTTGATACGTCTTTTGAATACCAAGAAAGCGAAGAGTCATTTTTCTGGAATTGCGCACACCTTGACTATCCACGTGTACTTGCCGTCCTATATCTCTTGATGTGCTTCGAAAAGTTCCTGCCAAAGAGGGCATGAATGGCTGGTAAAATCGTCAATGTTTGGCTGCTATGCGGTGTAACCATCTCTAGCCTGAGCTGCCCAAGTCGAGGCTTGCATATATTATGATGTATTGGTTTTCGGGCGAACTGTTTGGCCTCAAAGTAGTGTGTCTTGCATCGTGCTCCGGTATCGCGACACGCTGCATAATTTCTCATGTGCCCATGGGAATAATGACTGTCGGTTCGATAAATTAACGTCTACCATTTGCTCTTTTCTTTTGGCAGCGCCAGTAAAAAGGCACGCCTGTGGTACAGGTGCTCTCTGAGTCATCATATATCTCCCGACGGCTATATCCAGCTATATGTGCTAAATGAGCTATTTTATTTACTGCGGAACGACACATGGAGACACATGGATTCGGGATCATCGGGACAAGTACTCGTGTAGCTTATCGAAATTCGGTTTCTATTATTAGTCGTGGACGCCAGGGTCCCAGCGAATTCTAACTCTTTCCGAAAAAAGCCTTCCTCCACCACCCATTAACCCCTAGTCTTTCATGCCCATGTCAAAGACCGGACTACAAGACGCAGGCGAAGGGGAAGCGTCGGGTGAGGATGCCGGGCCCACGCGGCAAGGACTCGGGCGCCATACCAAATCTGGACTAGCGCCAGGTCCGGCCTGCGGCGGGAGTAGTCCAGGGTTTGAGATGACTTGCAAAGCATAGGAATCTTGACTACGTTAATTCTTTGGTTATAAATTATCGAGAACTAGACAATTATGCTTGGAAAAGAAACATGGACAATTTTTTCCTTAGTAAAGAAAGATTATACGCTTCCTCTGCTTCTGGACCTTTAAGTGTCAAGACTCGACGGGTGTATTTGTTGGAATAAACAGGACATCTTTCAGCGATAGTTGCTTTTTCTAGGGCTCGGGTCAAAGAGAGCCCTAGCAGGGGTTTTCAGGAGCCCTGACTAGGTATTAAAGGGGTCTAGTAAAGGGGATATTAAAGGGCATCAATTCAATCCTCAACATCATCGATAGCTTCCTTTTCTGCTATGTAAATTGCTGTCATATTCAAGTAGTATGAGCCCGTATCATCCGTCTTTGTGAAAGTGTTGACTCTCACACGTAACTTATACATCTTGAGTGGTGTAGCATGCTTGTTTAACATCAGCCTTGTATTTTCCGGAGGCCTATATTTTCAGCTAGCTTCTTCGACCTCGTGCGGCGTGTACAAAGTTAGATTGTCGTTTCAGATTGTGTTTTTCCCTACCTCTTTCTGACAGTAGCTGTCCTAAGAAACACGAATATGCTGTATTAATTAATTCGTCATCAATCTCCTCGCAATAGGCCTAGATCCTGTAGTGAATCTCCTAATTCCGTCGACGCCCTAGAGAAGCAATAGACAATACAACGAATGTGACACAGGTACGGCAAAGATATAGTGTTACTAGATGTCTTACATGATTATCTGGCTCATTTCTTTTTTTTAAATTCTTATCAACTTAGTAACGAATAAGATAATAATTAAGATAGATCTAGTTTATTTCTGAAAAGGATTTCTCAGTTTTATGTACTCCCATTTGAGTAGTTGTGAAAATCCTGGCACAGATGACAGATTCAGAACCGTGGATGCCGCACGGTTATGCGTCTCCTACTCACCATGGGACAAACGGCATCGCAGGAGCCTGTCGAGATAACACCAGTTTCTGGTTAGTCTGATTTCATCGAGTAGCTGGCCAGCCTTTCGAACATCTATTTGATATTTTATAGCATCCAGAAATCACGTCAAGTCTTCTTAAACAGACAAAGGCAGTCTTATCCCGACACATATTTTGCGACTCTCGCCAATTGCATAGCTCTTATACCAGCGCCGTATTGCTTTTGTCGCACTTCCGCGAGAGACGGGACAAAGACCAAAAATAGTCACAGACCACGGACAACAGATACGAGGCCAACGTGAAGCTGCTAGTAGAAAACAGTACCAAGTTTTGTTACAAAAGAAACGCGCTATAATTGAACAGCAACTATACCCACTTATATTTCTGTGACAACTTTTGTAGGCAAATTGCCCGGAACGCAGCGCCGTGGACATTCTAGTGGACTTTGACGTTTTCAACGGCAAAAGCCTACTATTACTCTGTATCGCCGAATAAAGCCACCAAAAACCTCGTAAAGACTCACGCCACGGCCCGGTTGAAGCCGTCGTTTTTGATACAGAAAAATCCGTCATTGAATGACTCAACGGATGGCCTACCAAATTTATAACAAGGATCTAACCTACCTAGCTAGATAGCTTCAGTCAAGACCAATCCACTGTTCAATTCGATCCATGGCTTTGAATTGTGATAGACGTGGAGCCAAATTCTGCTTTTGACGCGCACCACCAACCAACCGCCACTGATGTCTGCGTAAAGGAGAAAAGAAAAGATAGTTAGCAGCGTAAATTTCAATGTATTAGCGACTTTGAGCCGTAGCTTGCTATGCGACTGTTTATTACGGATCGAAGGCTGAACTGGATCCTCAACAACTGTTGATCACGACTAACTAGTTCAAATTATGCATAAAATTAATCTAAATCTCTGCAGACTAATGTAAGGTCAAACTAATTAGGCTAGGCTTACTATAGCGCCTTGTTGCTAAGTAATATGGGAACTCTTCCAGCAAGTTCCCCCGCAGAGAGCTGTAGCATCTTGACTCGTTGAGAGTGGAAAGGTGTGAGGGCACCTGAAAGACTGCTAAAAATCTATTCAGAAAAGAGGAAGAATACTTGTGGCACCCCTCATGACCTACTTCATTCTTCGTGCAACGTGCTCCGCCATATCGGGTACAAAGGAGGTGTCTTTGTGCAATCTTTTGTCGAGATTAGGTGTCAGACCATGAAACCGTGCGTCATGCAGGACAATAACCTGACAAAGTAGCGGCCGACAAATGAGGCATAATTCAAGTGCTGAATACGTAGGTTAACAATGAAGGCGACTACTAAGAGCAACTACTCAAATGCCGCTTGCCTGCCGTTCCAGCCGTGCTTTTATATTTCAGCTGTACGATTGTCGTGAACAATGACTGCTAGAATTGCCGTCAGAGTGGCAACTGGTGTCTCGTTACGCTTCCTTGCCCAGGAATGGCTTCCAAGCGTTTGACTTATCGGGCCAGCTGAAGGAAAAATTGCTGGGGGCAGGGGACGCCACGGAACCTTCAATCTCGATGCAATGGGAAGTCCTTCAAGCCTAGAGGACGGACATTCATATGAAGCATAACCATCACGCAGATAAAATCATTCCACTGGTTACTTGTTATCTGGCCTTACCGGTATATTGCCATATTAGCAACAAAGTATGGCAACGATGTTAGTGGTATTGGCATTTCTGAAACTGGTGACGTGCTGTGAAATGACTAACTAGCTGGTCACGGAGGTTCGGTGCACAAAGATGAGACTTTGGCGTCCCAAAAATAGTGTTACTCCAGATGTCGAGGGACAAAGACCGTGCTGTGAGGGCCGGCTCAGATGGTCCATGCATGACTTTTGTTCCATTTTCGCAAGTTTGCTGGGGTCAGAGCCACTGCCCCGAGCGGAGCTGGAGTATTTAAAAGAGACTCGGCTCTGTTGTGTATCTAAGACACATTCCTCTCTCGAAAGCGACGACTGTGGAAAAATTCAAGAGTGGCCGGAAGTCACTTGCTACCAAGCAACGATGCGTGAGTAGAACCTGATGAAACCGTCTTTTCATTCTAGCATAACTGACCTACTATCTCGTCTAGTTTTATTTTTAAGCGAGGCGAGACGGAAGTGGATAACCAGCTATGACCGCATGAAAGGATTCCCCGTATACATCTCACCTGCTGAGATGCGGCGTCTTTGCCTGCAGCTTCTTCGACAGTATGCCAGTGGGAAACTACCAGAAGGCTTTTTTTTACGCCATGTCGTCCTCTTGGTAGACCACAGCGGAAATCACAGCCTAGAGTGCTTTGGATCACCAGACTACTTGTTCGATCATATGGAATATTTTGAAAAGAAGAAGTGCAAGACGGCTTTGTCATGGGAACTCAAGGGTTTATTGGAACTCTCCTTATGCCTTGCGTCTCAGTACTGCCAGAATGAAGTTTTTGACTGGCAAGGTCATCCTATTACTTGGGAGAACCGAAGGGTACTGGACCCTGATTATCTTTCGAGAGCAATCGATCGGCTGGAGCGAGATTGCCTTCTGACAGTGAGCCAAGCGGAACATTTGTTTCAGACCGCGCCGGAGGAGCTGTTGGTGCCTGGTGATTGGAGATTGCGCTCGGGGGTAGTTCGATGGCAAACCAAGTTGAATTGGTGGCTCAAAAAAGACCATGACTTGGCTACGAAGCCTGCAGTGGCCCCGGAGTCTACACCATCCCCTTCCGAAAAGCTGTTTATGAATCCAGCTGTCTGATTACGCTCGAATATTAGTGACCTACAGGCTACGTTTAGTTATTTCACCGAGGTATTTAGTTCGTTCATGGATTCTTTTAGTATTTCTTGAACGATGTGTTACAACCACGGTGACTGAGGTGGTGCCCATTGCAAAGCCGGTCCCATCACACTTGTCGAATTCTTCATTCTGGATGCCTTATTTCGCAGGAGTGTCGCATACAAGTTAAATACTACCCAAACCACGTTAAATGGACGGTAGTCAAGCCCATATCGAAGGAAGGTTCGGTTCCACCTGGAGCCTGGAACGGTTCTCGCAGTCATTAACACCGGGCGTTTGAAGTTAAATGAGACTCTGGGTTTACTCCCTTCTGTTGGTGCCATTTAGGAAATAACATTTCAGTCTAGTATCGTCGCCCTTGCCCATGTCGTTGAGCGGTTTATTGCCTATAATGTTTTGGGGTTTTCATAGGGGGTCCAGTCCACGTCTGCAAGCTTGCATGAGATGCCAAATGGTTTGAAGCTCCTGTTGAGCACCTCTATCTGACTGTTCACATCGTTACGCTAAAATTGTTAAGACATCTTGTGGATTTTATCAAGTTGTCAGAGATGGCCTACCGGGAGGAGAAATTCAGTCTGGTTGGCCTTTGTTTCCTCAGGCCTCCCAAGAACGTGCACGTAAACGTCAAAGCTAATCTCTTTGGTCCCGTCGGGCTGTATGCGAGCACAAATAACAGGGGGGGTATCGTTTGAAATAGCTTGAGTACCGCAAGATTTGGTGATATTGTTTTGAGCGGCTGGGTTTTCTGGGGCTGCCGCTGCAGCCAGTAAAAATGCCAAGATGTGAGGGCGCACTTTGGAGTAATCTTTCAGCGAAATAAGAAGGAACCGCTCGGTTCACAAGGCCAATACTATATTGGTGCTGTGGGCTGACAGTCTGGAACAGACTGAAATTACAAGAAACAACTGTCATTAAGTATTCACAAATCGTGACCGAGCCAAGTCTTTCTGGAGCCAATGAGGCTCCGAGCAGGTACTCAGCAGTATGACTTAGTTCCCACTACCTAGGTAGTTATGCGGGAAGCATCATCACAGTGACTTGCCGTCGGTCTTTTGACTCCGCCACGTGGACCGTTGGACCAGGAGTAAATCAAGTTCGGATGAATCAAATAGTTTGTAATGCAAGACGTAACGATGGTTCGGCCATGTCATGGTTCCATATGGCGTGGCGAGGTGGATGCGAGTTGGAACTTGGAGGTGCCGTGTGTAATTCCAACCATTTGGCTCCAAGCACCTTGCCGCCTGACATTGAGCTTTGTGCAAAGATGCAGTCTAGGTTTTCGTGCTGCTGGACCCGATGTCCCAACACAGTGAAGGCCATGCAACGTATCTCAACAAACAATCCACACACATCCAATATTCCAAAATAGCCTCTCTTATTTCCATCCTTATTGGGTTAGGTCTGCGGCGGCTGCTAGTTAAGCGGAGTCATAACTAGAATAACGCAGTTCACAACAGGTGGCTATCATAGTCGTATATCCCTTCCGCTTCTCCCAGCACTTTCGTCCGTTGGCGTCTCGGTGCTCCTGGAGAAGACTGTTCTTATCATGAGCACAAATCCGCTGCGGCTGGAGCTACTCATTTTCGAATCTGTGACTTGGGGCGATAATTATGTGCACACGGACACGGAACAGATCTCGATAACGATGAGTTCCATCTCCCGACTCCGCAGGATATGGTCCTCACGCGCAATCTACTGCTGCGGCTAAAGCTCCCTCTTGAACTTCTGAGCAGTATATTGGATATGGCTGAGTACTGGGCGCGCTCGACAAATGAAGCCAATTTCCCTCTGGCCCGTTATTATCAGGGGACTGTGGTCAGCCGCATCTGGGACGAGTTTGCAGTCAAGCTTATCGTTAGTCTGCTATTTTCCAACCTTGTAACATTTGATGTATAAACTAATGGCGATACGAGGCTCGATCCATCCCGGTAGGATTTACCAGTTTAGTAGGAGAGAAACAGTGTCCATTATCCAACGCGGCCTGCCCTCAGACTCGGCGCGAAGCACCGAGTGACGGCATTACACGTCAACAACAAGAAAAAAAAGAAGAAGAAGAAGAAGAAGAAGAAGAAGAAGAAGAAGAAGAAGAAGAAGAAGAAGAAGAAGAAGAAGAAGAAGAAGAAGATGATGATGAAGCCATGATTGCCTACAACTCTGAAAGAGCGCCTGCGACTGCGTTGCGATGCGAGCACAAGCCATGCTATATCAAGGAAATGCTGGGCTATTCCTCAGTCCGGTCCGCAAAATTGTCTTCACAATTCGTTCAAAAGGCAATCCATCAGGGTCATACTGGAGAACAAAAGGGACCTTTAGTAACTGTACATCCTAGCTCGAGGCTGGCTTGGAGAGATTCGACGCAAACCACTCCATTATTTCAGAGAATGATGCCACCGATTTTCAAGGTATCGCCGCCGCCGCCTCATTCTCGCATCTGCCGATACGCGCGCTCCGGCCAGTCCAGCCCGATTTGCGCCCGGACAAGATAGGAGGAGCTGAGGAGCGGGCTGCAATACGACTTTGTGCATGAGCCACAGAGTAACCTTACAATCCAGCGCAACCGAATTGCCCCGAAAGGGTATGAGACGCATATTGTGACGTGGTCATACAGTGACCGCGTGCATCCGGATTCCGATGCTGCCAAGGATATTGATAGAAAGGGCAGAGGTCGTGCCACCGCCGACGGGTCATTTGTGAGGAGTCTCAAGCTGGGCGACGTTGTTACCGTTTGGCTCAAGGTAAACGGGTCATCTCGGAGGGGCTCGGTGCAAACTGCCAGAGTTAACATTTATTGGGCAGTTCGAAATGAGTCCTGTTCCAACTGGTCATGGCGTAAAAAAGTGAATTTCCACCTTTGAAAATCCAAGTGCTGCCACATGTCATGGTGCGGTGTTGGAGAGTATAGACCGCATTACCGCCACCAAGGTATCGCTGCCTTTGAAATCTCACGTCATAAACATTTAGTGACACACCATAGTTCTTAGACTTCAGATCAGTCTAGGGTCCATTTTGGATCTTGGCCATATGCTAACTGCCATGTTTACTAACATTGACTCATTTACTTGCACCTGCTCCGCCGAGAGAGACATACGGTGACATCAATGAAGCGGAACTAGACGGATGATGATGATTGCTAGGCTTTTAGTGTCTGTCGTGCTCTCTGCGCGAGTTACTACATACACTTGACATGACACTACACTGAATTGTGAAATTTAGTTACGAAAAGAAACACTGTGAGGCTGCTCTGTTCCACGATCACGCCGCCGTGTGTCTTGGCTTGCCAGCATAGCCTTAAAGTCTTTGACAAGGGCTCTATGAGGGCTTGAAGCCAATAGCTCAGTTCATATAATAACAGTCTTTGGGATCAAAGGACCTTGGCTTTCTCAGTCCTTTAGGGACCAAAGGTCTCCATGAATACAAGAAGTCGGTGAGGGCCTTCTGCCCTATGTGCCGTGATCATGGCCCTCGTGAAACCGTGTGACAAGGGCTCAGTAGAGGGATTGGAGCAACATGACTCAATTCATCAATACTAATACTTTTTGGAACTACAGGGCCTTGGTTTCCCTAGACCTTGTGAGCCAAAGAGGACCTATCTATACAAAGCGGTGAGGCCGCCAGGCCTCGTGCCCCAGGCTCAGCTAGGTATTGTAACTGTAATTTTGTGTAATCATGGTGAACTCCAGGTCTGTGTGACACTTGTTAATTAAACCTTGTCTTGCTTTGTTGTGTAGGAGACCGGTTGTTCCGACAGCGCCTGTCCCGAAATATCTTCAGTCACAAGTAAAATAAAGAAATTCGGGCGGACAGCCGACGACTTGATACATGCAGCAAAGCAGGGGTTTATAGCAATAAACTGTGCTTATTACGCTGACCGTAGCAACGCTTGAAAATCTAGCTACCCCCTTTACCACCTGGGCATCTACATATAATGCCTCGGCGCAGTAAGAGAAGATTGAGTTTTTTATGAGCAGCACAAAGCTACTTACACAGAACCACGAGACTGGAGGAGGAGGTGCAAAGAGTGCATCCGCGGAGAAGCACCATCATGACGCAGGCCGTGGCGAGAGTGCTGTACACCCACGCGTGTTGTTTCACACAGTTTACGCCAAAGATGTTCAGTATCTGTCTTGGACCGTGAAATTCTTGGTCGCGACTTTCTATGCCCTGCTGAAATCACCCAGAGGTCACTTTGAACTCGGCAATATTGTAGCATCGAGCATTTTCGCGCCCTTCATCATCATGTCCCAGTACATGGTGTCCTTGCACCGAACCTGAAGCACACGCTAGCCAACCTGCAGCCAGTAGGCATTGGCAGATTCCTCACGTCAACAGGTTGGGCATCTTGACAATAGCGTCTGTCAAAAGCCCAAGCCCAGCTACTTCTGCCTCGTGACGTGCGGCGTACAGTATGGCAGTAATTATTATCGGTGCTTGGCCAGCCACAGTGTCCGATGGTCATGCCTGACTGCATTCCTTTCTATATATAAGATTGTCTTCCTGCTTCACTACATCTCAACCTCACTGCGGTTGTACCGTCAAGCCAGATGTGCCTGGATAATAGATTATGAATTCTAAAGACCCTCGAAAGCCGATGAACGCGCCACAGTATACCAGACAACAAAACAGTGCTCCCGACACGCTTAACCTTTAACCTGATTCCTCACTGTGAGGGTCTAAGAGCACGAACGAGGTCTAGTGCGACATGAATAAAGCGATTGTTGAAAAGTAAGAGCTCCCGAAGGAAGCTTTAGCTCGAGCCATTCAAGTCCTGAAAGGCCGTTCTCTTACACGAACCTACATGGCCTTCTCGACCTCTTCAAGCGTAGGGAGAAACTTCAAGTTCGCTTCCCAACCCATAACCACCATTAATTCCTCCACGCAACCTTGATTCCTTGGACCGTCTCCTGATCTAGGCCTAGACGGCGGAGCGCTCGCAGGTGCCACAGGCTTTCCCGCGGCATGCCCTGCGTTATAAGGCTACTGGCAACAATCATTTCGCTCTCAATATCACTGATCTCGCGGTGATTGGAGATGTGTAACCCATATACCACGTCTAAAATCAACAGCCAGAAGTCCGGATCAATAAGTGACTGGAACATGGGGACATCATTCTTGTATAACTTTCCCAGCCAGGCGTTTGCACGACTGCGCGCGTTATCAGGCGACCAATCCGAGCGACCAAGGCAGGCATCCCCGTCTTCAGTGGCAACTGCATTTTTCAACGCTAGACTTGCGTCAAGAGCCTTGGGGGCGCCCGAAATTGAGACCAGATGAAAAAGTCGTTCGTGGAGCCGCTTGCGCAGGGTTGCACGTTGCCCCCTCGAGGAGAACTGACTGGCTCGACTAGCCAACAAGCGATGGTAGAGAGCCGGAGCGGCTGTCGATGGATACCTGCCGCTTGTCAAACTTGAAAGCTAAACACGCGGTGGGATTAGTCTTGAGGCTAAGTGAGACGGGAGGCGACGTACGACACACAGGTCCCATGAGTCCTTGAAACGAGCGGGAAATACAGCCTCAACCTCTTCAAATATAGCTGTAAAATCAGGCGCCTTGTCAAATTCCGCAGCGGCAGCGACAGCAAAGTTGGAACATTTGATTTCTGAGAAGCCGGCCATGGTTTTGATTTGTCAGAATAGGTCACTTGTTACGGGTATAAATTACGTACGCACAATTAGATAAGGGTAAACCCTTAACCACGAGTAAATAACCCTAATAATAAGCGCACTTATAAAAAGAGCGTATATAATTCTAAAGGCACGTTTTTAATTATATTAATTTTAGTTATAAAACTAATTACGCGTATTAAAGAGGTAATTAAGTAGAAGATTAAAAGGTATTAAAAAAGGTTAAATTAGTATTATATACAGCGATTATAATAAGGTTAAAAATAATATTTATTATATTAAAGCTCTTTTAATTTCTCATAAATTTAAGCTTTAAGTATTAAAAGGCTATAAATTAAGCTATTTAATATTTAATTATTATAAGTAAAGTTACTCTTTATTATAATAAAACTAGGAATATTAAGGTATTAAAACTTATAAGTGATACTTTTTAGGTAAATAATTTAATTACTTATAAACTATTATAAGGCTATTTTATAATATTATTTAAAGGACCTATTATATTAAAGATAATACGTTAATAAACGGTAATTACATTTATAATTAAAGTAAAGCTACTTACTTTATAGTAAATAATAAAGGAAATAATAGCTTTAAAGCGATAATTAGTGCCCTCTAAAGTGTAACATGATTTGACGGCTGATAATGTGTGGGACGTAGGAGACTTGTGACGGGGGTGAGTTATGCTAGTTAAAGGAGAATATTGACCTTAATACACAATGTTAAAGATTGCTTTTAAAGTTTGCATGTAATTCTTGTGCGGTAGAATGCTTTTATTCAGCCAGTCTGGTAAGGCTTGCATTATCAATCGGAGTTTTTGGACATACACCAGCCTGGTGTAACATGGCGCGACTTACTAATTGAGCAGAGACTTGGTGAGCCTATTAACATCAGGGAAAAGCGGCAACAGACTAATGCATGTAGACTTCAAGCTGGAAGAAACGTGAGCCCAGTCGCGGGGTTGGCATTTCACCAAAGAGTCAGATTTCCCCTCGAGTATCGTCACGAACTGGTCTGCTCTTTTCTCCATGTCTCCGAATCCAAAACTCCTGCCAAACGCGTTGTCCCCGGCTGGTTCGGTCGGTGAATTGCCTAAATGCTCTGAAAGCGTACCAACTTTGCTCTTGCACCGTTCAACCACGCCTGAAGCGACCAGATGCAGCTCATGAGTAATTAGAAGGATTGGGGTCATGTAGCTCTCTCCTTGGCCATCTAACAAATGTGTAACGAGATGAATTAGCTGCTTCATAGTTGCAAGATGACTCTGTACATTTTCTTGCCGGGGTTGCTGTAGAATACAGATGAACAAGGCCATGATTGAGTGCAGAGGAACTGGAGCAATCTCCCTTTGAGTTATATGAGCGTGGCACCCGTTTGGCGAGAAGGGTCGCAGAATTGTTTTTGCTGACTTACCAGATAAAATTTGTGCTCCCTGCAGAAACCAAGGACAGTAAAGTAGAGGTATTATGTGCTGAATGCGAGCAATCATGTCCGAGCGGAGATTGCAAGCCGTCCTCGGGGCCAAACGGGTTCTCGGTACTGCCCGGGGTTGTTTTCCAATGGCCGTGCCAATCTAATGTGTGCATGGTAATCACGATGCAGTGATAGGTGCCTGCGACTGGCGCGGGATTGGAACATTTCATTCCAGCATCATGGAGCGACTGGCACATGATGCTGGAAAGGGGGCCTCGGGAATTAAGCGAACTGAGCCCCGGACCCACACGCTTGCCAAGATGAATCGACCATTGCCATCGCGTCCATGCTGTCTGGTGATTTCCTTCTAGGTGGCCGTGTCGACAAGAACCGTTGGAGGCGACTCGCTTTAAAAATAGACAACGGCCAAGTGATGCAATCCAATGAAGCATGTGCCACACAAGACGGCCTTGGCCGACTAGTTCCTCCTTATTTCGGAGAAATTCACAGCTTGCCACCTCGAGGAAATTCCACCTCCACTGCCTGATGCTGTCATGGAATTTGGGCCAATCGGCGGCTGAAGCCACGTTTGAAACCTGGGCGCTGTCCTGGCCATTGGGGCTGTACGATGCATGTTGAGCGAGCCGAACCCTAGACTTCATGCAAGGTCATCCATGGTCACGTCGTCTGTTTCACACGCCGGGCGAAGCATACACAAGTGCGTTGCGTCTAAACTCTAGTTCATATGCCGGCGACTGGACCAAGTCATTCAACAATGCCTCGAGTCCCAAGCGCATGGGGACTCTCGGACCCTCAGACCCGCCAGACTGGTTCTACTAATTCCTGGATAGTCCCGACGAAACAGCTCAATCGGCCGCCGACTTGCAGGGTATTCACCCAGATGCCCTGTTGGGCCGGAGTCAAACTCTCGGGCGCCGTGGTAAGCAATACCCGAGAGCCGGACATGGCCGAACCCACATAGCCGCGCAGGCACATTTGTGAAAAAATCTTGCAAAGAGGCAGTTTGGAAATGCTACAACCTCAGGGTTTTGTCAGGGTTAAAATTTTATCCTCGACTCTTGACACTGCTTGCGATTCTGACAGAGCAAGAAGAGCATCTGGTGCAGATTACTACTTCTCTCATATACCACTTTCGTATACACAGTGTTTGACACTTTGTTGCAGACATAATATTCACTTGGCCTCTAGTGAAGACGTCTTTTCGGTACAGGTGACGTAAAGCAACCAAGTTGCGGAATGAGTTGGTGGTACGAATAGCCGTAGCCTACAATACGTGGATAGCCGATGGTCTGATTCAAAGCCTGTTGAACCTTATTCTTGGCACGAAGCACCCCGATGGAATCGTTGGCGTGATTCTAGAAGCCAAGCAGTGACGGGAGCCGACCCAGCCTCTGTCGATTACAATGCCGGACGCTTATCCCATGTGCGAGCCATCATGCCACGCCCGTCCATCCGTCAACATGTTGGATTCGGCCTTGCAACAGCATTTTGGCTCGAGTCTGACAATGCCCCGTCCGGGCTCCCTCTATTCATGCAAGCTAGCACCAAGTCGCCGTATAGCATCATACCATCATGCGTCCGTCTGCCCTGTTGAGCCGGCAGTTGAGACATTCAGCTCGTTGAGCCTCCACCATGCCCATGTCACACATCCTAGCCGCACGGCTTTTGGAAACTACAGCGTCACGGCAGTGCCTTTGAACTTTCTTGAATAACTTCCGTTCTGGGCTAGTCACGAGAGACTTTACGATTCAAGGCCATTCATGCCTTCATTTACACCCAAGCTTTACGAGATGATCCAACGTGTATAAAACAGCCACGACGAAGCCAAAGTAACTACAGGAAATCTTCCAATTCATCTCATCAACATTCTACATTCTCTAAACACATCTCGACAACTTCAACACACTCTTTTACAATCAAAGCTTACTTCGAGACTCTCTTTGAACAAAAATGAAGCTTTCTTTGGCCCTCGTCACTGCCCTCCTCGGTCTGGCCGCGGCCGCGCCTCAGAATGACCCGTCCACCGAGGGCCTGTCCAAGGAGCTAGCAGAGGAATTTCAGAAGAACCTGAAGCAGCTAGAGGAGGACAACAAGAAGAGCATCCCCGGCACCATCCAGGACATGGCCGAGAAGCTCGGATGGCAGGGAGCCGGCAACCTGCCGGGCAAGATCGGGCAGGGAGCCACCATCCTCTCCCTCCTCGCGACGTCCGACTACAGCGTCAGCGCCGAGAACGGCAAGAAGTGGGTGAAGGACCTCGGCGGCGTGGCGCTCTCGTTCCTCCCCAAAGTCGGCACCCTCGGCAACCTGCCCGGCTTCCTGGGCATGATCAAGACCATTGCCGTCGGCCTCGAGCAGGCCCGGTTCCCCGAGCTCGCGGCCAAGCGAGAGGCCGAGGCCAAGTGCTTTGCCAGCAACGACGTCCGCACGTACAAGGACCTCTGCCAAAACTGCAAGCCGCACCTGACCATCTCTCTGCTCGGGAGGCTCAACGGGTGCACCGACGAGCTGGTGACCAACCGGGACGGCTACGTGGACCACAAGAGGGCGCAGAGCTTCTGCGCCGACGCGGTCCTCTGCTCGGGCTACAACGACGGGGGCCCGAGCAAGATCATCAAGAGCGGCTTCCGCTACGACCCCCTGCGCTCGTTCTGGTGCAAGGAGAAGGACGACCAGATTGGCATGCTGCTCAGCAGCTGGATCGGCCAGCCGCTCCGCGAGAGCCTCTACATGCTCGACCACGAGGACTTCCGCAACGCCCTGACCCCCGCTTGCAAGGAAATCACAAAGGACCTGAACATTGAGGGCAAATGCCCGACAAGAGAGGAGCTCGAGGCCGCGGACAAGCTGGCTCCTCCCATCAGCTACTGCCAGCCCGGACAGAGCGTGAACCCCGGGGGTGCCGACAGGCCGTTTGTGCCAAGGGCTTGAGCGTGCTTACTGCTCTTGAACTTCATGGACCCGGCCTGTGTGCCGAGACTCGGGCGTTGTTAAGGGCGTCGCGGTGTGCGCATGGCAAGGAATGTGGCCTCGTCTTTTGCAGATCAAGGCCGCCCGTGGGGTCCTAGCTGGCTAGAATGTTAGGTTTTCATAGCGCTTTTAGCCTTTTTTTTTTAAATATGAATATGCAGTTGCTCAGCTCAGAATGTTTAAAACGCGCAAATTGTGATGAACCTAATGAGTGGCCTATGGCTGGATCGCGAATTGTTACATGTAGTGCTTCTAAAACGCGCAGATCTATGATAGATTCTGCAGTATCGCGGGACGTGGTGGCCGGCACGTAGGACTAGATGGATGGACCAAGGTTTGGGGGCGCTTTACTTTGGCCAAGAAGGCGAATAGAAATGCGTAAATGAGTGAGGAATATCCGTTTTTGGGAATATCGAGGTGGCAAAGCGGGGCCGAGTAACCCAGTCGGGATGGCGGTTTCATGCCGAAACAAGAAAACCGTCCGCCCCGCCCTGGGCATATGTTATCGGCTCGAGGCTCCATTTCGAGTTCCTTGGCGAGGACTTTGTGTGGCCAAGTCAAAGGAGAACACTACAGCATGGTCTGGCGCTATGAGCCAACCACGGCGCCAAGGGGAGGAGGCGATTATGGCTTTAAAGGTTTCAATAAACAGGTGTAATCAGGATCGCAAGGGACCATAGGGCTGATTCGGGATAAACCCTCGGAATCATGTAGTGGACTGCAAGGGCAGATACGTGAAACAAAGGATCGCGCCTAATGTCCGATCTGTGCCTCCACGCGAAGAGGCGTTTGATTAGAGGATAAAACTTGCAGAGGCGCTATTTCTGGGAGCAGAAAGTATGACGCTCCACGAGAGGTAGGCTGTCCGTAGCACTTTAATTTTTTCAAAAAACGGAAGTGCCAGTTTCACATGTTTCATGTCGTCCAGGAAGATTTATACTTGCCTTCCTCACTCTGATCTTTGTGGCGACACAAGGTGTCTAGTCTGAGCTGTTCGGCTAAACTCATAATGCCTACATGAGGATAATCTCGTAACGCTCGATTATCAAGTTTCGCGTGTTGCCAATCGAGTCGCATATGTCACTTGGGATACACGGTGGTATATTTTAATGCTGGTGCGGTTTGCACCTTGACGGCGGAAATTCTACTTACATGGCCACGGTCTCGGTTCCTCAGGGGATGGCCCCTTGCAAGACTGTAGTTTGCGGAGCGAGACCGGCTTCCAAGTAACATTAGGCTATCTTTCAACGTAACTAGTGTCTGTGTTAATAGTGCAGGTGCCAGGTGCCAAGCACGGTGACCCAATTCTGCGCAACTTCAAATATTGAATAATCCGGCACCTCAGCATGTCGTGCCATGTACCGATGCCAGATGAGTTGGGTATCGCTATGCATACAGCCACGAAAGGCTCCCGCTCAGGCACTACCTCTCCTTGCATCCCATCGTTGAGAATCGTCTTTGGAAATCCGTTTGCTCTGGGATACTTTCAGATATCTCTGACAACGTTGAAACTTGTATCGGAAATGTCGCCGAGGCGCTGAAATGATGCGGCTAACAGAATAGGCTGGATTTGTCCAGCAATCTCGGAATCATTAACGGCCATAATATTGTCATTGTAGGCCTCCCTCATCCTGGAAACTGTTCAGCAGCCATGGTTGTTACACAGATGATGATAACGTTTCCTAACTTTCAGTATGGTTTGTTGGCTGGCATTGGAGGCGGTGTGCCCTCAGAGACAGACAGCGGGAAGCTTCGTCTAGGTGATGTGGTGGCGAGCAAGCCCATATATCCATATCATGGTGTCGTGCAGTATGATCGCGGAAGAGCAGAGCAAGACCGCTTCTCACGGACTGGTACCATTTCACCCATTTCACCACCGTCACAGGTGCTTCAAAACTCTGTAAGAGAGCTAGCATGGCAACGAGAAACATGGGCAAACGATCCTGTGTGGAAGGGCGCGCAGAGGCCCCGGAGGAGCTGCCGAAATTCTCAACGATTCAAGTTTCCGCGCATTGAGAATGACTATCTTCACCATCCAGACTATACTCATCGGCAGCCAGGGAAATCCTGCGATGATTGCGGATGCAATCCAGAGAAGCGAATCCCGAGACATGCTGATGAACGTGAAGAAAGCCTTGTTGTGGTGCACTACGGCATAATAGCGTCCGGAGAAAAGGTCATCAAGAATGCTGTACTGCGAGATGTCTTGGCCGAGGAACTTGGAGCTTCAGTAGCTGGCGCGCTTTTCCAGTTCTCTTTCCCAGTCATTCGGGGTATTTCAGATCACTGCGATTCAAACAGAGGACAACCGGTGGCAAGGCTATGCCGCTGGGGAGGCGGCCGCCTATACGAGGCAGCTATTCTTTTAGATGCCCAAGGGGGAGATGCGGGAGTGAGTTTGACTTTAAAATAGGAGCCGCATACATGCATTGCTAATGGGCGGATAGAGACTGGCAAGGCCAAACCGCCCCGATGGCCAAAGGCGAGGATCAACTCTCAGGCCTTGTACCATAAGGCAATTACTACGATGAGGCGCGTGGGTCGATGCCGGGTATGTGTGCTTTGCATGCGATTTGCCAGGCCATTGGTATGAAGATTGCTTCGCATCGGAGCAGACGAGGCTCAAAGGCAAGAAGGCAAGATTTTGTCTGGACGCTCTCTATTCTGCGGTGATTGTGGCCACTATTAGGATAATTGCCCTCGAAGAAGGGTTTAAGGGACCAGTAGGTCAGTAACAATGTGAGCCATGGCCACGATTCCTCAGTAGAGCCAGGATCTTGAGGCTCACGCGCCTGTTGATCTTCGGCCTCGGTTTTGCAACTACAGCCTCCAACTGCACACAGCCCCGCCAGACTCTTCTTCGCAATAAGAGAGTGGCCTTTCCAGTGACTACGGGAGAGATACCTGTATCACCGATTATGTGTAGAAATAACTGTCCATCAGACAGCTGGAGACGCTGGCGAGGCCTGCAGGTCGCACAAGATTCCCCGCAAGAAACCATCAGCTTCAGCTGAGCCTTGTTTCTCCTTCACCAATGGTTGTGTAGGAGGAGTTGGCGGGGCATTAACGAACCCAGTGCGTTTAAACCCGCTCAGCGTGCTCTTCCCGAAATCATACTGAACTACACCGCCATGTCCCATATGCGACTGGCTGATGACCACATCCCCAAGCCTGACAGCCGCGTTATCTCCCGGAACACCGCCTACAACGCCGACCAAAAACGTGTGCTGTATTGACGGAAACTGGTACCTCATCTGGCCCGTAACTACCGCGGCTGAACTCGCACCCGTCTGACCAGCAGGCAGACATACGATGACAACATTGTGGTTGTGAATTCGACCGAGCGTGTACAAACTTGGGTCATCGGGCTTTTGGACAATGTCTAAATGCCGCTCATCCAACATTTTCGTCGCTGCGTTAAGCTCGGTCGGGAGAGCGCAAAGCCATCCCACAGTATAGTTTCAGGGCGAAGTCTTCTCATCCTAGAGCCTTCGTGAACCTGGAGTAGAAGGGAGTAGACGGTGCACGATTTCAGAAGCGGTTCTTCAAGAAATGGATCAGAATCGTCGATCCGTCCGACTGATCCACGCCGTGTGTAGTTGGCTGTTGGCTATAGTTTCGATGCTGAGATAGATGGCCTTGGTCACTGCTTGACAGGCAGCACTGAAATGCCGCCGAGAACAGCCGGGACTCGGACGTCTGGTGAAGATGAACAAGGTTGGTAGAGTCACAGATCAAAAAAGCAAAAGCCCTGTTAATCTAGGACCATGGCACGGCAATATGGGTAGGACGGGAGACAACGTTGGAAATTGGAGAGCAGGAAAGAGCCAAGAGAACATCAATCGATGACCAAAAGGAAATCACGCACGCTGCCTGTTGCTATTCTTTTGAATGCTGTTAATAAGCTACGAGCAAATATCGTGGAGCACCAAGGCAACATTTCAAGAAACTTTTCCACCCTCAGTCGTTTGCGTGATAGCGCCGGACCCGATATCCTGTTCGAGTCAACCTACGAGCATGTTGGAGGGGCTAGCTGCGACCACTGCGATCAAGATCTGTTGATACATGGGACGCCGCGAAGCAGTGAAGATATTGTAGTCCATTACGGTACTATAGCCTCTGGTAACCAAGTTACATGAGATGGGTCCACTAGAGATATGCTCAGCTCGGATCTTGGAGGTGTTCTTTGCTTTGAAATGGAAGCGGCTGGATTTATGAGCATATTTCCAGGCCTTGTCATTCGAGGCATCTGCGACTACGCAGACTCGCACAAGAACAAGAAGTGGCAGGCTTAAGCGGCAGCAACGGCAGCAATGATAGCGAAGGAGATCCTTTTAATTCTACCCGTAACTTAACTCGCCGCGGCTAAAGAAGCGGACTTCGGACTTGACAATCCGTTACAATTTTTGAATCTCTCAAAAAGGCCAGAATAGCAGTTGACCCAAGAAGGTAGCTCCAGACACTAATGCTTTAAGGAGTTGCTGTTCGGCTAACGCATAGCTCTCAGGGACTTTACCTTGTAATAATTTTGAGCATATCTCTAATTACGAACGCAACTACACCTACCGCAATTACTTGCGTGACAAGTGCCCAGGGACTGCAATGTGGTTACTAGGTAATGAGGAATTCCTGGCGTGGAGAAAGAAGACTTCATGTCTATGGCTGTCCGGTAAAAGTATGCATCCATAAATCCGCAAGCCAAAAGGCGACACACTGACTATCGCGCTCTAGTTGGCTCCGGGAAGACTTTCGTGACGTATGTTCGTTCTTGATGATCCGTTTGCCCCTAGTTAATCATAGTATTAATGTGACCTAGGACCACCGTGGTTGAGCATTTGATAGAAGCATCTTAAAAGAGTGGTGATTTTGTGGCCCATTTTTTCTACAGTCCCTCAAGCAAGTTCCGGCTAAAAGCTATTCATCTATTTGAAAGCTACATTAAACAGATGCTCGGTTTCCTTGAGAGGATGGGACATGTATGTCCTCAGCAGTTAGTGGGTGCTGTGAAAAGATTTAACGGCCCAAAGAGATGCCGCCCCAGCCTTGCTGAGATTATAGAGATAATATTCATACCACTGGGCGAATTCTTGCTACAGGTCACTCCAAGCGCAACATACATTGTGGACGGTCTCGACGAGTGTGAGTCAGTCGAGAGGCGACTGGTACTTAATACCTTTCGAAACATGATGCAACAGCGCGATTCGCAAAGAGTTTTCATCTCCGGAAGCGAAGACCTCCACGTCACAAACTTTATAGGAGACTCTACAACCTTGTGCATATCAAACAAGGACAATGAAGAAGACATTCGCGAGTTTGTTGAGTGGAAAATTGAGGCGAAATTGCGGGAACGACAACTCACAGAAAATGAGTATGTCCTCCAGGACATCAAGAGGAAACTGAATGAAAGAACTCATCTCATGTCAGTGATTGCACCCATGACAACCGTCGTGTTGATCCACATACTAATATTCAAGAAGGGTATTATGGGTGAGCATGCAAATAGACGCTCTCTGGGACGAGTGTTCTACGGATGACGATATTCAAACGGCCCTGGAAAATCTCCCCAGCAGTCTAGATGAGACTTACGCCCGCTGCCTACAACGAATAGATAGGAGGCAAAGTCGCTTTGCCCGGACCATCTTATGCTGGGTGGCAGCAACAATCACGCCGTTTCAAGTCGATCAGTTAAGAGAGGCACTTGCGATCAATCCCAGCACAGGGTGCCTCGACAGAAACAGTATCCCGCCACGCCAAGAGATTGTAAAGTGCTGTTGTAACCTCATTACTTCAAACAACGGCCAAATCCTCCTCGCACATAACTCCGTACGGCAATTCTTAGAAACACGGCTTCCTAGCGGCCGGTTCACTTGGGCATCGTACAAGTTACACACTGCACAATCAGAACTTGGTGCGCTTTGCGTGAACCATCTCACGTCTGCTGACTACGGTCTCAAGTTGCAGCATTATAATGTGGGCGAATGCTCGCGCGTTACAATGGATAAACCAATAATGAAGACACTGATTGAATGCCCCTTACCATCCTGGACTCACCGCTTTCTATCGAGGCCCAGATCTGCGATGATGGTCCTACCTAGAAAAGTTTCAAACACTCCTTCTGACAGGGAGCTACTGTCTTTCTTCCAATATGCAAAAGCCCACTGGGCGCCACTCGCTCGAAGAATCACCAAAGCTTCTCTGCACTAGGACAATTTCCGCGCGCTCGCCCTCGAGCCAAATTTGTCATGGCGGTTACATCCTTGGCCGCCTCTAGGGGAATCCCTTGACTCTCACTACTTTGGCTTGTTGGGGTGGGCCACAGTACATCATCATGTCCCTCTACTGGATCTCTTATTTGGGTTGCAGGGTTATAAGTCCAGGAATGACATATTTAACATGCCATTCTATCAGTATAATAATCTTCCGGCTCTACATTTAGCGTCAAGAACCGGTAATATTGAGATTATAAGGCGGCTACTTGAAGTATGTGACCCCAATAAGAAGGATAATAATCGTCGAACAGGCCTCCATTACGCGGCAAAAAGAGGCTATTCAGACATAATATTGCTATTGACCCAAATGCAAGGCAACTTGAAAGCTCGAGATAATAGAGGGCGAACGGCTCTGCACTTTGCGGCAGAAAACGGACATGGAAGAGCGGTACAAGCACTCATCGACAAAGGGGCAGATGCCGATCAAAGGGACAATATGAGACGGACAGCGCTTTTTATGGCAGCGCGAAACGGGCATGAGACCATTGTTCGTGTGCTAGTTGGACGAGGCGCTGATGTCAATATGCAAGATAAACATAGATGGACGCCGCTGTTCATAGCTGCGGATAACTTGCAGGACCGGACAGTCCGAGCGCTTATTGAGCTTGGCGGGGACATCAACATGGAAGATGGCGTCGGACGCAAAGTGCTTAACGTTGTAGCGATGAAGCTGCCTGGGAACGTGGGCTCGAAGCCCAACACTAACCAGACAGTGTTTCTGGCCGTGCAACAAGGGCACGAGGCGGTTCTGCAGGTGCTGCTCGCATGCGGCGTCGACATCAACGGAAAGTATATTAATGGATGGACGCCTTTAATACAGGCAGCTGCTGGTGGGAACGAGATCGTGGCCAAGCTGCTGCTTGAGAAGGGTGCCGACCTTGAGGCTAATGATGAGAACGGGAGAACGCCACTACCGTGGGCCTATATGGGGGAACACCAGGCCATTGTCAGGCTGCTGCATACCTTCGTAGCAACGCCTTGACCTCCGTTTCCCGACACCCTTTTCGTCGGTGGCGCAGTTCCGTTCGTAACGAAGCAGTGCTGATCGCTTCCCCGAGTCGTAACCAGGCTATCCCGAATTTTTAACGTCTCAGCCATAATTAGCCTTGGCTTTACAGTTTCCAGAGGTAGGCTGAAGTAATACGGGTATATTTATGACTGCTATCTACTGGCTGAGCCTGACAGAGCACCGGTCTAGTGCCGGGCCCCGTTGGCCCAAAATTGCCGTCAAATTTGTATCTACAGAGATGTCACATAAGTGTAGTATGAGTGGGAGTCACGGGTATCTATTATATTTGCTAGGATATGCTAAAGTTTGAGTCTGGAATCAAACGCATCTCAATCGATGAATCAGTCGGGTCCCATGGACCATTGTCAGGGATCGTTGAGATGTCTTACTTGAGTGGCATCACATCTCGTTACGCTTGGACGCTTCGGAAGCGTTTTTTCTATTCTGCGGCATTTACTATCATGGATCGTGGGTTCTGGAACTAACTCTACGAAAGTGTATGATAACTAGTTGTCGCGTCGGATGGGTATCAGTCATCCGCAAAAGGGAGACTTAACAGAGCCTTGAACAGTTGGAGCAAACTGAATCACCGGCAGTGAAGCCAAGAGAAGGCGCTCGCATACTTGTCGTATTCAGCTTTGTATCTATTCGCAGCATCGGATTCCATCTCAACGAGAAATCTTCCCAAGCCTCCTGCTGTCGGATGCTGAATCTTTTTTTCATACTCCAGCGCCGTCTTCCTAGTCGCTACCTTTCTTTTTTTTTTTTTCATTTTGAATGTTGTGAGCATAAGCTGCGATTGGGCCGGTCACTCACCGAGTCCGAATAAGGGAGAGCGGAAACGAGTTGATCACATCACTCATACGACTTGTAGCCATAGCACTTTGAATATTTGGTTCCGCCGCTCCTCTAAATGGTGTGGTTGTATGGACAGCTTTCATTATATTAGATAGCTACTCTTGAGGCAAATCCTTTTAATAGGGGAAAATAAGCTCTTGTATATAATCTGATTTAAGCCTTCTCTACTACCCTTGTATTGCACACGGAGAGCATGCTACGAACCGGGCGGTACTAAGGCTTGGAATCAAGTTTTGCTATTCCCGTCTAGATGCATGGATACCTATCACAAAAGAACATGGTCTAATTGCGAAGCAATCAGGTTCCCTTATATTTAGGTCCGGGACAAGAAGGCATTCAAGTCGACAAGCGCGCGATATCCGAAGCAGCAAAAGCATCTAGGTACATGTGTAGCACAGTTTTGCCACGGGGTATAAACTTTATTGGATCTAGTACGATATTTCTTCGTATCAAGATGCCAACTCATGTGCCGCTGGCTCATTTGCGGGCTTCTCAGCAGCGCGAGAAGGAGTCCCCGGCATCTCATGAACTATTCCGGAGTCTGGGTCGGCAGCCTTGCGCCCTGGTCCTGGCAGGCTATCAGCATGTAGCTGGGCTTTTTCGTAAGTCTGATCTTGACTTTTTGCCGTCCTGTCTGCCGAACGTCTGCGCAGGAAGATGATGGTACCTATGATGAGGGCTAATGCTACAATAGAACCTATGACGGCCCCGGCTATCCAGGCTTTGCTTGCTATCGCAAGCGTTTCATTAGCTTCAATATTCTGGGGCGGAGAGCTGGTACACATCTCACTTGCCTGAAGAGGCTCCGACAGCCGTTTCCACTGGACCAGAGCTTGGAGTAGGTGACGGAGTGAACGAGGATGTTGCCGTGTGTGATGTTGTGCTTCCCGTTGGAACCGTGGAAACAATTGTCAATGTCGATCTGGCGGTTGGAGTGATTGTGAGTATGGTGGCGGAAGACTCGATGTTGCAGAAGGCTAGAAAGCGTTCTAGCCCCGGTATGCCTTTGCCACCAGCCCTGTTTGTATTTTCTTTAATACAAGAAGAGCAGTTGTCGTATGCTATGCGAAAGGCCGAGTTGGGTTCGCAGAGCTTGGGGCTCTTCCCCGTGGATGCCGCTATGAGATAGGCCGAGTTTTCAGAGCAACAAAAAGATTAGCCAGACGAGCTCACTGAATGCAATCCGGGTGAGTATAAGACTATGAGCTTACTGCATGAATCATAGCATACGTCAGGAATCGCACCATTATCTTGGCTCTGACGGCTGCTTAGCAGCCGAGTCGTAGCCATGATGGCGTGTGTGACGGGAGTGATGGTGCAAAACTCATTGGAGAAAACTACATCCGCTGAAAAGTTGGAAACAAAATCGTCGCCCCCTTTTTCGCTGCCCCGCTTCGTGTAACGTTGTGAGATTTCCTTTTGGCAACTAAGACATGCTTGTTGTCAAGCATCTCATGAGAGGCTCGCGAGCTTGTGGAGACGTCCTCGCCCTTTTAAGCCTAAAGTGGTATGCAGGCCTAATAAGAGACCTGAGATGTAGCATGGTGAGATGCTGATGTTCAATGTTTGTAGAGACCGTCCTGGCGGAGTGATGCGCCTCCTGTCCATGCATACTGCTCCTCGTTTGCCCGGTTAGCGGATTGTGCGCAGTATTTTATTTGCAAGCTGGTTATCAATACTAGAGAACTGTAGCTGAAATCATACCATCAATAAACAGACTCAATACTGGCAGACAATGCTTCAGCTTCTGAGGATACGTTGAACACTTCGTGAATTGGACTTTAAGAAGCTTGAGGCCCGGCGAAGAACAAAAAGTAGCGAAGAAGGGCCACCCGATGTAAGAGAAAGCGTGGGCTTGAGGCATCCAAATGACTTCCAGGTCGGTGGTGGCTGGCGTACGAGTTAGGGTTAGGGTAAATATCACGAATCACATACGGATGGATTTCCTGGCTGCAAGCATCGTCAGACGAGCGCATCGCCCAAGGATTGGTGCAGACGGTCTGAGAGCACTTACCTTCTTGAACGGAACTTGACAGAACACCATGTGGCCCTTTAATCATCGCATTAGCCATGGTAACTCCTAGCTGAGCGCATGTAATAAGTGACTTCTATTTTATCGCAGTAGATATGACGTTCCTCAGATATCTCCAAATCCGTCCTCGTGACTACAATGCACGCATAATCCCTCTGCTAAATTCTCGCATATTTGTTCATGGTTAACAGGATCTGCGTACCAAGGGAGTCCGGACTACTTCTGCCTCAGTCTGTAGCGCTGCTAGAAGTGAACCTGCACAGGCTGCAAATACAAGAGGGATATACTTTATTATTATGACTCGATTCGATAAATACAAAATTTCCCGCTTCAAGCTATGAAACAGGAATGAATCTTCGTCTATACACCAAGTGTGAGATAAGTGGGTATTTTTGAGCCTTAGAATGTCCTAGCTGCCTACAGTCTGCGTCAGATTAACTTGTCTCACTCGGCGGGGTGGATAGAAATTCAGAGGAAAGTCACGCATGATGCAGATACGTCATTGATATTAAAAGTATCATGTCCCGGAATCGGGTAATTGGACTGTATGTAGAAACTGCTCGCAGCTAGCAAGCTGGATTTGACCCCTTTATAGAGCTTCTAGTGTAGTATTAGCTAGTAGTATGCAAAGTCATACATTAGACGAAAAGCCCTTTCCAAGTCGTGATACTATTAGCCATTATATATATAATTTATCTTAGATTTTGTTTTATAACTAGACTACCAAATCCAACAGATTCCTCCGCCGCGGACCTCCCGACAGCTTTAACAGCTACTGCGAATCTTTCGACGGAAATAGTAGTTAGATCTTAGCAATGGGACTTCCATTGCCTCGGCTAATAGCTTCAAATAACACGGCTTAGTTCACCCAAAGCCCAACTACGAGTTTCCAACCCAACAGCCAAAGAATTCTTTTATAGCAGCTTTGAAGACCGCGCTAGTAGCTATAGTAGCAGCTCTTATATTAACTCGTCCATGAGGCCAAGTTCGTGGGATCAAAAGTGCTGAAAAGAACTCGCGACCATTCGAGCAAAATAATGACGTAGAATCTGGCATTTCCCTGCGCTCGTCATCTTCTTGCGTGGCAGACAGAGGTACCGTGATACTACATTTTGTATGGCCCTAGTGACGGTCTACCGGGCTTCAACTATAGCATACAACCACCTATACCGACGGAAGATTTCTCATCTACGAGCTCGAGCCATCGCACAATGCCGCTTTCAAGTTCTACCTCGGCTAAAAACACATCGTTTTAGTCTTTTGTTAGAAGTTGGACTCTTGGCTAGCTTACATTACAAAAGGAGTTGAGACAATCGTATGGCCAACAACAGTTAGCATCCCACAAGCCTTCACATTAACTGCCCTAAGTTCCATTAGAACGTGATATCAACGATGGCTGTTTTGAAAGTCGCGGAACCTACATGCGGTATACAATCATTTGCTCCTGGTCTCGCAAACGCTACAGTAGCCAGAACAGCTAAGTAAGTAAGCAAGGTTGATTTTCATAGTCGTTTGTGTAAATTGATAACAAACCTTTGGATGACATGTCCAAGGATGGGTTGGCAGGCAAAAAAATGTGGAAAGATACAGAAAAGGGGTGGAAAACTGGTTTTTATACAGGATGTCACAGCCAAGAACTACTTGCATAGTGGTTTTCAAAATAGTACCAAACCGCTCCTGCCATGGTGGGGTGACCAAATCATTACTGTACTGGAAAATAGCATGGAACTATTGTCAATTCTACATCTGTTGGTGTAGCGCTATCTTTGGGTCCCCTTTTCGTCTCTTTCAAAGGAAATATTCCGCCTTGCCGAGGTTTAGTAACCACAATATCTCATGAAGCCGGGAACCTTCTGACCATATCTGCGCCAGACATTCGCATAAGATAAAGGGGGGTGTTGTCACATGGTTGGGCCACAACAAAGGCGTCGGGCCAACAACGGTTACACAACAACAAAGGGGGTATCACGAGACCCGAGATCGGACCTGAAGCGAGAGCTGCCTCAGGCATCTATCTTGAAGCCTCTCAGAAAACCAAGGCCATTTAATACCTTAAATTCGAGCATTATAGGTCAACTTGGACTTATCTATGTTCCAAGCCCAGTTATCCTGCCCTTGTCACAGGTATGTTGACGTACAACAGACGCTGCCTTCTCATAAGTGCGCTGAATGAATAGCTGGAACATGATGGAATGGCTATCATGGGATCCAGCGATGAATTCGGAAATACCATCGGAGTACAAAGGGCCTGCTGACCCGCTCCAGGATTCAGCAACTCCTTTCAACCAGCCGCCTATGGGTCCCACGATATCCGGCACAAACCTGTATCCGTCTCTGTACATTCACATTTTCTACAAGCCGTCTGATTCCAATTAGGTATAGGAGTTGCCAGAGATGAAAGAAAGAAAGAGATTGCTGTGGCGGCCATGCGGCTGGCTTTCTTCTATCTGGTACATTCCATGAAAGGCTTACAGAATAGACTTGAGTCTAGCCCCCAACTCTGTACTGATCCGTCGAATATCCTCTTGAGACCGTCGTCATTTAGCCATCAAATGCAAGATCTTCCATTAATATATCTCTTCTTAATGCTGACCTTGATCAAAAAACGACAACCAGCTTAAGAATTATGACCTCTCACTCAAGCTACTGCTGTTTCTTCTGCTCAAACGCGGTCCTATGTGTCTAAACCAACTAAAATACCGCCGGATCATCTTTTTGGTATGAGCAGGGTAGGTGCGCCAGGGGTATTTCGCGACACCAAAGCCGGAACCGACTCAAGAAGATCGGAAGCCAGCGGACATTATCTCAGCGATAAGGGGGACAAGGCGGGAATGGTTGTCCAAATAAGCTTGGCGGAGAAGCGACAGCCGGGGCGGCAGCGGAGAAACCGAACGACGGAGGACATGGTCACTAGCACGTTGCACACGGTTTGTTACGTAGGCAAGGCTGGTAAGATGAGACGTTTACTGTTGCAGGATACAGTCCACTAGACCTGTGCATGTCTCCGGATAAGAAGGCGGCAGCTTGCCCACGGCTCAGAGCGTACGATATGCACCCCAGAGTTGTCCTCTTGGGCCAAGACTTACCGAGCATGGGCGTACAGGAATGCGGTGGAGATAGGACAGTAAAATAGGTAAAATAGCGAGTCCAGACCAGTGGAGTAGTTTGATATAATATGTGGCCGCGAAATAAAATGTAGCAACACAACATCTGCCTTGATATGCAAGGCGCCGTTTACGGAATATGGGTCCAATACTAGATTCCATAGAAACCTGGAATATGTGTAGGAAAGCATAGATCCTGTCACTTCTTCTCCCCGAGATCGGTGTCGAGGTAAGCTTGCACCCGATATGGGCGAGGCCAGCTGACTGGGTCCGTAACTGACGAGATGTGATGACGCTTCTTGCATGCTTCACCATACACTCAACAAAGCGGAACACATGAGCTCCAAAGGTTCTACATATAAATCCTCTGGATAAATGTGGCAAGGGCTCAGTGAGGGCTTAGAGCAACAGCTCAATTCAGCTGATAGCATTCTTTGGTATGAAAGGTCCTTGGTTTTCTCAAGGCCTGGATGGACTAAAGAGCTCTATAAACACAAGAAGTCGGTGAGTGTTTTGCCCTAGGTCCCGTGATCGTAGCCCTCGGGTAACCGTGTGACACCGGTTGACAGCCGGCCCGAACCATTTCATGTGTAACCAAGACAGTTATGACCGCAGGCCGTCGCTTGATAATGCTTCAAAGGTGTGACCAACTTTGCATACCTCTCCACTGTTATGTGACAATAACCAATTTAAGTTTATGTACTCAGGGCCTGGAGTAACCTGGCTGAACGACAACTTTCGAGATTTGCTTCAGGGACAAGGGCAAGGGTACCAATAAACCTAGTGAAGATGTGCAATGTTATTAATATATGCCTAGGTCATGTCTGAGTATACACGTTTTTTTCTGTTCCTCATTTCATTCTGTGTATTCCTTCTCCCCTTTCCGCAGTTAGGCATGTCGCGTAAAACTCGCCTCTGCATGCACTTATCCACACATCAACCCCGGAGTTGTGCAAATCAAGTTCTGCGCCATTCTGCTGGCTAATGCTAGGCTTATTGAAAAGATACTGTCACTATTTCATCTCTACTCACACCTTAATCCTAGCACAGCGCAGAGAAATGGCGCTATTGAGGGATGTACTCGGTGGTTATCCCATTGCATTCCCACCAGATCGCTGCGACGTGTGCCAACCTGGGGAAGTCGGGAGTTGTAA